AGCAGGATAGATTTTGCCAGGAGTCTAGAGAATTCAACCACCTCATGAACTCTGTCATGCTGGACACACATTGCAAACAGTGTGACCACATCTCGCTGCATGACGTCTCATCCATGCTAAGCCACTCACAAATACAACCAGTGTACGTTGCAGTCTACAGCGTGGCTTATGCATTGCACAGAGCGCTGGGGTGCACCCACCAAGCGTGTCCCAAAGCGTCCATCAGATCTTGGCAAGTAAGTAAAGTCAGGTGGACAAAGAGCAACTTTTCATCCAATCTATGCATCAGAGCTGCACACACCCAGAGCGGGGGGTGTGTGTGTGTGTGTGTGTGTAACATTGCCCTGTGCTCCTGGCCCCCATCCTGGTAGTGCTACAACTTCAGCAATTACCTCAGCCAGTCAACCCCTACACCAGCCCACTGCACCTTCTCTGCTGCTGGCTACAGCTGCATTCCCCTCTCTAGGCTACGTTCTGGCTCCCACTAACTGGTCTTGGCACAACAGATAGAGCAGCTGATAATACAGCCAGAAGGCCGACAGTCACAATCTCAGCCCACATAAAGGATAACTGATTTCAGTCAGAAATTAACTTACTGCATTATCATCATCCAAGCAAGAACCTCAACTGTATCAATATTTAATGTCAGTTTTCATTTTCTCCTCAGCTGCTGCACTTCATGAATACCCTCCCATTCAAGGTGAATGGCCAAAGTTTCAGGTTTGATCAATCCCATGGCACAAACACTGGCTACAAGCTTATATTCTGGTCCTGGAAAAACGGCACCCTTACATATCTGCCTGTAGGTGACTATGAAGAGTCCTTGTACATCAACAAGTCCCAGATCCAGTTTCACACTGCATATCAAAAGGTAAAGATGATAAGCAAGAGCATAAAGAATCACAAAATAAAGTAAGCTTTTTTGTCGCTTTATCAGGACTGTTCATTAGGAGCTCTTAGCCTGCATGCTACTCCTGCAAGATTTGCATGGGACCCAGTTCTCGCTCCTCTGCAAACATGTAATCCATCTCCATTGTGCCGATACATTTATGTACTTTCTGAAAGGTTATTGATTGCATGATTAATGTAACTTTTAAAGATTTCTTTAGCCTAATAACTGTGTGATTATGTTTAACAGCCTATTCTCATAGTCCTTAGGCTATACTTGCCTCAAGGCTAACATTTCAGCTATGTGTAAATAGCTAATCACAAGGAATGCGTGCATGTTGAACCAAGAGGCCTCATGAAATTAAAACAAAGAAGGGTTAAGAGCAATGACTGAGAGATTAACGAGTACAGAGACGATACCTTAACCTTGAGAACAGAAACATCCTAGCAGGAGCGCTCAAACAAGGATGAAAGAATCACTTTTCTGAACAACAGAAGGAGTAAACATCAAAGGAGAAGAAACTATCCTCAGGAGACCCGTGACCATGCAAGGGAAAAAGGAATAGGGGGCTGACTCCCCAGACGACCACCCGAGACCCCCGCGCATGCGTAGTGTAGTTTTGCAACGCCAGCATTATGTAAATGTAGGAGATAGGCAGGGAGGTGGAGACTTCTCAGAAAATATAATGACTATGTATAGCTTGTTACAATAAAAGAAGTGCTTATGAAACAAGAGACATTGGGCGGAGTTATCCCGTGTCTCCGGCACTGCAGTAAAGAACGCCTGCCTTCTAAAACTTCAAACTAAGCGTTAAGAGGATTTTCTTGCTGACTTTTCTGGTATCAGTGCAAAACTAGAAAAAGGTATTCCCAGCACTGTTTAAAACTCAGGCACAGGTTTGATCCCAGCACGGCACTGCCAATTTCTTCTAATTTGTTTGGTGATACCGTGCCTCTTCTGAAACTGAACTGACATTCATTCCGCCTTTTGTCTAGGAGCCCACATCAGAGTGCTTCAGACATTGTAAACCAGGACAATTCAGACAAATAAAAGGATTCCACCTCTGCTGCTATGACTGTACAGATTGTCCAGAAAACACCTTCTGGAGCACTAAAGGTGAGGTCTGAGAAATTAAATGGCTTTAACTGCCTGTATTACGTCTCTCTACTGGTTGAGGGCACACAGGTTCACAGAACTGGTAAAGACCAGTTGTGAGCTCTTCCTCCATGAAGCACTGCCAGTGCAGAGTATTTGCCTCCCTTTTGTTCTGCTGCGCATTGTTCAGTCTTGCGCTACAGATCTCCAGTGGGGGACCTTCCTCTGTTGATCCCAAAGAGAATGCATCAGGGCAACGCGCATGTTTTATTTCAAGAGTTCGGAGAGAGGGGTATGATGAAATTCTGGGGTCATAGATAGAAGAGAGGCAGATGATGAAACTCTGGGATCTTTTGGAAGCTGGTGATCCTTCCTGGGGAAGAGAAACAGAGCCAAGAAATATGGGGGGACGGTGGAGAAGTAGAGGGGAAAAAAAAGAGATTGAGCTAGATCACAAGCTTTGGAAATCCAATACACTTCGGAAGGAGGGGAAGTAGGCAAAGCAGCATGCAAACCAGCTACCTAATTCATGACTGTGATCCATCCTCAAGGACTGCCTGCAGCAGGTTAGCAGCACTCTACTGCAAGGTGGTCATCAGCTTCTCACTGCTACTTTGCAGACAGCTCCACCTGCACTCCCTGCCAAGAGCATCAGTGGTCCCCTGTCCAGAGCACACAATGTTATGTCCGGAGCGAGAGATACCTGTTTTGGAACGAGCCACTCACCATCGCCTTGCTAGTGCTGATGTCCATCACCATATCCCTGACTTGTTTGACAGCAGTGCTCTTTTTAAAGAACCTTGAGACTCCCCTTGTGCAGGCTTCCGGAGGCAAACTAAACCTCTTTGCCTTGTTCACACTCATGCTGATGTGTCTCAGCTGCTGTCTCTATATAGGGAAGCCCAGTAACAACCTTTGTATGATCCAGCAGATAGCCTATGCCCTGTGCCTCAATGGTTGTTTCTCTACCTTCTTCATCAAGTCCCTTGAGATCACCCTGGTGACAGAGTTCCCTCATTGTGCCGCCACCTTCTTGTACTGGGTGACCCAGCGGAGGGCCTGGCTCCTTGTTGCCTTGTGCCTCCTCACCGAGTGCTTGTTCTGTTTCTGCTATGTTCACTTGGGCCCTGACTATCTGGTGCCTGATTACAAGTCACTGCCCACTGAAGTTCTGCTTGTGTGTAACACAAAGTCCTGGTTTGCCTTTGGTCTGATGCATGGTTACAATGGCTGCTTAGCCTTTGTCTGCTTCCTGTGCACATTCATGGTACAAACTCCTGGTAAGAAGTACAATATTGCCAGGGGGATCACATTTGCCATCCTAACCTATTTCATCACCTGGATCTTCTTCATTGCTGTTTTTGCCACGCTAAAGACAGTCCTCAGATCTGTTACTCAGATTGGGACCATTTTGACAACCAGTCTGGGTATCTTGGTGACCTACTATATCCCTAAATGCTACATCATCTTGCTTAAGCCTGATCTGAACACAGTGGATTATTTCCAAAATTCCATCAAAGAGGAGCCAGAGGAGGACTCAAACAATAAACCAGATCCATCGTCACCTGCTCCTCAATAGAAGCTGGCTGTATTTTAATGAGATAATTCTGTTTATGATGACTTTATAAGCTATGGTCCCAGACACAACCACCATATAAAATACAAGCTTATTGTAGGCTGAACACTAGGAGCAGAATTTTTAAGCTGCAGAGGGCTCTACTCAGTGAGCTAAAGCAAAATGCCCTCAGCAGAGTAGTATCCATCGTCGCTGTAGCTAACCACCCGTTTCATCACCCACAAGGAGCCAAAAGCAGGTTCAGTTAAGCAAGCAACCTACAGTACTGATACTTCATATGAATCTCTCGGGTCTGGCCATCTTATCTAGAAGCCTCACCCAGACCACTTTCCTGTAAAGCCCGCTGGTAATTTCCACTTCTTATTAACTAGAAAACTGTTCCAGAGATCTATTAATAAATCCTTTCCCAGGCCTTATAAGAACTTTCAAATATATTCAACAGCACAGAAATAATAACTAGAAAAAGAGAAGGGAATAATCTGAAAACGTGTGAGATTATAGACCACAAATAGAAATCCTTGTGATTAACTAATGATACTGAGTACCTATCTAAGCAGGATCCTCTACGCAGACTTCCTAGCGAACAACATCAGAAAACACAGCTCCTGTGCATGTCTCCTCCTCTTAGGTACAGGAGATGCAGAGGGGGAGGTGACAGACAGAGAGGACCAAAGGTCCTGCACACTGCTCTGTAATCGTGGTCTGTACACATCTATGTGTGTTTGTGCACTTGCTTTATTAAAAGTAGAGTCAATTACATCCTACAGCTCTGGGTCTCTTTGTTAACACTTACAGTCAACGCAAATTTTCACCATCTAGGCTGTGAAACTGTATGGTTCTAACGGACACCAGGATCCTCAAGACAACCCTTCCCCATTGTCCCTGTAAATAAAATTCAGTGACAGAACATACTGATCCTCTGAGCTGCCCTCTCTGCTATTTAAACACAGGGGCTCTGACTTAGCAGTATGGCACTGAGTTAGTTTTTCTCATTTCTGATTGAGGTTTCGAGGATACCTGGAAAGGTATACATGAAGTTACCAACACAGGCGAAGAGTACACAAAGAAATTGATAGGTCATACACAAACTGAAGTACAAGGAAACGGATCGAGAAGGCTGACTATTTTAACTCTTAAATAAAAGACTGAAAGGCTAAGCAAAGCTTCTGATGACAACCATTGCTATTCCAGTTCATGATAGCAGCATATTAACTGAGAACTGGTCTTCGTATATCATTGAGTATTGAAACAAAACACAAGGAAGAACCTGTATTTCTCAAGAGATTTCACAGTTTCATTCCAAGTCAGAATAATTGTAGTTATTCAAGCCAGAATCACAATAAAACTGAGATTTTTTTCAGATAAATTGTAAAAGTTTAGATATCATAATGGAAGTATTTACCATAATTTCACACTTCTTTTACAGTATAAAATTCAGTTTTGATACCATTGCCTTTTTCCAAAGTCAGTGTTTAAACTTCTGTTAAGTAATGTTTTCTATGGAAAAATTTTCTGGTTTAATTTTCTTGACTACTGTGTCACAAAATCCATAGAAACCATTCTGATATGTAAAAGGCAGCTTTATGCATGATATAAAGAGTATATTACCCATTCAAATTTCAATTCACTCATTTGTGTTTCATTAACATGTGTTTGCAAAGAACATGGAAATGAATAGTGTGCAAATCACTAGCAAAAAGTTTCTACGATCTCAAAAAACATTCAAGGATCACCAGAGAGAAAGATTTCTTACCCGGTGAGACATTCTGCAAAGGGGACAAAATAAATAAAACACTTTGAGGAATAAGAAATGTCTTTAACCTGCATTCATACATGTAATACGGTCCCTGTTTGCTGAACAGCAGGAGAATTCTCATATCCAGAAAGGCTAGTGGCTTGCCCCGTTAAGCATCCGATTTACAAGAACAGGTAATAGCGATAGTTTCAGAAGGTATGACAAAGAAATACTCGTACAAGAAAAACACTGGCTAGCTCCCTCACGAAAGGTGCTTGCTAACTATAACCAGTTAATATCTAGTTTATACGATGAATACGAAGGTTTACACATAAGTTACTGAACAGATTATGATCATGTAGAGTGCTGAGTGTGCAGGTTCAATGAAACGTATGAGTCTAACCCTCTGTAAATGCTGCAAGCTCTTTGCCAGTAGCGAGTACTGTGTATCAACAATCACACAGGCCTATTTTTGCGTATGCAAAAGTCATCTCTAATTGTCCGTCTGCCTGCTTGTATCAGATAGACTCCCCTCACTGCCTATTAGCCACAGACACACCCTCTAGACAGGAATTTCTGCATAAGTGAATTACTAGAATCAAACCCGAACAAAGACAGTAGAAAACACCGCTTATTTCCATTACTGTTTCCTGTAACTACCTTTACACTTCCTAGCAATGGAATTGGCCCTTCCACCCAACACTGGACATCCGTCTTTTCTTGCAGGTGTGGAAACTCCTCTGTCCTCCACATCCACCCTGACAACTTCAAGGCATTGTAAAACCAACACAGCAGTACACAGAGCACAACAAAGATGGCTCTGCAGCCCTAGAGGTCACCACAGATCTTGAGTTCTTTAAAAAAGCAGCTTAGAACTGCACACCCCGAACAATCTGAGGGGCAAGGCCCATTCCTTCCTCTGCCCCAGTGCACCTCCTGTATTTTATTTCTCCTCTTGCCATGTGAGACTCTTGGGTCCACGTAGCCAAACGACTACAATCCAGGACAAAAGAGGCTAAGTTTCTGCTACTACCCGTATGTCTTCTGCCAGCTACTTTTACAACACTGCTATGCTTCACCACGAGCACATTTACGGATCACAAAGCAGTTGTCAGCCTCACAACACTGCTGTACAGAAGCTGCTGCTACTTCGCTTTACTCATCTGGATTTTCCAGGTCTTTCAAAGTGTTCATCATGACTTGCTAGAGCTAACCCAATGCAGCTGTGTACACAGGTGATACAAGCTGATAAACCGGGTCTGCTTTGCTGGTGTTCACGACTGCAGGATCATTATGCCTGCCTAACAGAGTCCCAGCAGCACAATTTCCTTTTGAAATATTTTCAGAGCTAATGAGGGTGTCTGGCACTTTTGGTCCTTATTACAATACTGTGTTCTACGTTATATACTTTGTAATAAATTTGAAATGTGTGCATTTATTACATCTCTGTACCATTTATTACATTTCTCTGTACTTACAAAAAGATGGAGAGAAACCAGCCAGCCCAGAGCTGTGGCAGAGACCAAGCATGGAAAGACCGACAGTAGCTTGGCCTACACAGCTTACACAATATCACAGTAATAACCAACAGTGGCTCAGTGTCCACTTATATCCCACAAAGGCTGCCATGTGCACTAGTGTAATATCAGGTAGCTAATTGGGTATATTGCACTACCAACTATCAGCCAATAATTATTAAATATTAGCCACTTAGTGCCTCTTCGTGTCAAGAAAAGTGGCAGCCTCCACTCTACTGTTACTTCTCCTAACAGTGCCCGTGCAATATAGTAGAGATATTTATCTTTTATCATGCTGTATCACGGAGGAATGATGATAGTATCTCTCCTTCAGTTCAAAAGCAAAGGATACGACTCCATCTAACACTTTCTACCTAATGCCATCACACTTGTCCTTTCAGAAGCCTGGTAAAAGTACAATCAGACTCTAATGCAATTGTTAAAAAAATTATTTCATGCTACTCAAATTAAGCAACTAGCCAAGAACAAGTACTTTCTCAAAGCGAAAACATACATTAGTAAAAGCTGTGCACAATAAGTTTTTATCCTTTAAACAACCTTTATTCTACACTCCTTTTGCAAAAAATTGTCAGTGTAAAGTGGCAAACCAGGAAAGATGAAAATGGGAAAACTTCTACATTATTTCATATTACTACCAAACAGTAGCAAGTAAATATCAAGTCACATCACTAAGAACTTTTCTTTTCCCCACCCACTTTTTCATACAACTATTCTGCTCCATTATTCCACACGTTAGACTTAAAGTTTTTCCAGCTATCCGCTATGTGGTATTGGAAGTTAACTCATCAACTCAGCTCAATTAAAGAATTTGAAACTTCATCTAAACCAGCGAATATTTTCATTCTTACAAAAAGAGCTTTTTGGTGGACTGCAAAGCTAGCTGTCCTAGATTTCTGTGGCTACCTGCATAAAAAATTGTCCTGGCATACTTGAGGAAAAAAGTTGAAACATTTGCCAAAAGTACTCCTCAGTGTGATTAAAGATAGCAAAAAATCTGACCTGAAGGCTGGAAGTCCTTGTTTCTGGAGGCTGCAGCAAGTCTTCATGAGCATATCACTGCACCTGAGAATCTCATCAGTACTCCTCACTTCAGTGCTGTGATTTCATAGCAGAGACGCATTAAGTAACTTTTGATCATCATTCCAGAAATAGAGAAGGGAAAAAAAAAATTACCTCTATTGCTTTACTTTCTAGCAGCAGAGCTAGAGCCATGATAGACTGATTTTTCTTTTTCTTCAAGAGGAAAGGGCAGGGTTGCCAAGAGAGGGGAGGGAGGAAGGGAAAAGTAGCTGATTAAAGTGCCCACTCAGTTTCAGTCACCTGCAAACAATTCGTACTAGGTCAGCTGGAACCCATCAGGCCCTGCAGTAAAAGATTGCAAGAGTATGTCCAAAATTGTGATCATTTACCAGTCACCCAACTGGGAAAACGCTGGCCAGGCCATTTTGCATCCTATGCAAACAAATATAGTTTGAAAGGGAGAATATGGGAAACTCTGGAAGACTTTCTCATACAAATCTGCTGCAGAATTGTGCCATTTATAATGGGTGCCTCCATAATGACGACTGCTTTGTCTCTCCCTTTGCTGCTTGATCTCTACCAGCTAAGAAGAGGGAATCTGCCTCATCAAGCTGTGATTGTTCTTCATACACAAGCGACTCAGACCTTACAGGGAGGCTGGGTGTCCTTATGTTGCATGACAAATACACTGTGGTTTAAGTCTTACCAGTTAGTCTGCAAAGTGGTGTTCTAATGATCCTAGCTTATCTCTGCTGGAGTTTGTGAGCAGAGTCCAGGAAAAGGGAATATTCACATGAAACAGCGGAATGCATTGACGGGTTCTATCAGCAGATTCATCTCCTGGGTCTGCAGGCAGGAAAACTTGTTCCAGCTCACGTCTTTGTAACAGGATGTATCCTCCAGCTGTCTTTTACTTCCACAAACTTTCGTCAGCCTTTCCTGTATACCTACTCCTGCCAAGCTGTGAGGGAGAAGCTCAATAATTAAGAGGTAGGGCAATTTATGGGGAAAGCACAACTCCTGCACCAATATATTAGTCATTAGCTCAAACCTACAGCACTTCTGATGCATGGCAGGGTCTTGTCTTTCCAGTCAGATGTCATTAACCTGCACAGAAGAGTCAGGCCTCTGCATTTCAATCATTTATGACCCAGTTTAGTGGTGAACACTTACAGAGCTCTTGTCATACTTTCAACTGTAAGCACTTCTGAATTACCATTAAATCACGCCCTGCTGCCTATCTTTAGCTCCTGAACAATCTTTTCCTGTAGAGAAAAGAAAACTTCAGTGTGGCAAGGGAAAAAACCAGAATAAATTCAACCAATGTTTCATCATTCTTGAATAAAAGATAATGCAGTAGTGCAAAGAACTGAAGACATACACTGCAGTTATCACATAAAATTAAAAGCTTTTTAGTGTTTAAAATAGCATTTACACATAAGCAGCTATATATTAACTATACAGACACTTGGGTTTTCATACAATATCTACAAAAAAGAATTCAATTATGCAATAGACATTTAACAGGAACAGTGCAGTCCATGCTAGTAAGAGGTCACTCTTTGAGTAGAACCAATTCTAGAATAGGTGATAGTCTGGGTTTTCATTATTTAAAATCATGTAACTTTGTTCCTCTACTGTACATAAAATTCTTTACATGTATTTCTAATCACTGATTAGAATTAATAACTTTAAGTCAATCTTATTACAATCCATTTAAACGCAAAACAAAAACAATTACATCAACTCATGAGCTGTCAAGTCTCAAGATGGGACTGCCCATTTGAATAGAACAAAAATAATACCAAAAGTCAATGTCTGTGCATCCTTGCTTGCCATCCACTATACCTTTGCATAAAGTGTCCAGGGGACTGTTACCTTTGAAAAGAAATTTATTACCAGGAGGTAAAAGACAGTGCTTTTAAGACTATTTGCCAAAAACCTTACTCCTCAGAGTTAACACATTGGGTGGGTACACTACCCCTACAGATACCTTTGGTATCTGTAGGTGGGTACCTCCTTTGGATAGGAGACATCATCCCAAACTGTTTTCTCATCATTTGCTATGATCTTCCAAAGATACCTGTTAGTCCTTATTAGAAGCCATTGGCAGGTTCGCATGAACATTAAGTTCAGCTGCAGAGCACAGACAGATGTTGAGGGTCTCACTTCCACAATAAAAACGTCAACTGTTTAAGGCTCCTGTTGGGAGGTTGTTTCAATGCCCTAGCAAACTCGTAACTTCTCACTGTAGTTAGAGGCGTAGGTCATGCATTCTAGAGCCCAGCCAGTGCCAGTTACTTGACATTAAAAGCAGAGAAAAATTTCAGGCCCTGGTGAAAGAAACAGTTCTGCAGGACTCCACCCTTCGAACTTCCTTCCACCCGGCACAGTACCTCCTGTTGTGAGTAGCTTCCTTGGCATCAGTGGCACTTCGTTCTGCAGGTAGTACCGTACCCAACGGGAGAAACTCGCAGGCAGGCCCTAACGCCCCCGTGTTGAAAAGACACGTGCACATGCATTGAAAGCCAAGGATGGGATTTGGGAAATCTCCTGTCTTCATTCACTTCTGAAAATTGAGAGCTAGCAATGTTTCAGGCCTACCTTTCCATTCGCTCAAACCAGCCTCTCCACTGTCCGCTGCGAGGCGGGGAAATTAAGCTTTCGTTTTACACACAGTGGCCATTATGTATTGCACTGTTCACAGAAGGGTCATTTACATTCTCCTACTGCTCTTTGTAAACAGCAGGTTCTACATGCTATACAGTATTAACCAGCTAGCGCATCCATCAGTATATTCAGAGCACTCATTATTTGCCTGAAATGGATGCCTGATCGTGGGTGAAGCTAGTTCAGGCTGCATTTAGCAGCCTGATTTTCCTCAGCAGCCGAGCGCTTTCCCACACCTTTGTTACGGACTGTCAGCCTCACTCCAGAGTTACTGACAAACACGCAAATATATAAGACAGTCATTTCAACATAGCAGCAAAGATCAGCAAGACACAGAACAGTTTCTGCCAACAGCGTAACAAGACAAAAAAACCCAGCAGGTGTGTAAACTGCAACTCTTGAAAAGACATAAGGAAATTAAACACGTTTCTTCCATGGGTGAAAGCTCAGCCCCCAGCTTTAATCCCTTTTGGAAATATCTCATTAAAATGACAGTCTTTTCCTTCAGCCCTGTAAGTTCTGCCTTACGACAATGTGGGCCAGAAAAATCGTAATATATGAGACCAGAAAAGTTAAAATTGATTTAAAAGTAGAACCACTAGTGATTGTCAGTAAAGTCACAGACTCCTTAACAATGTCTCCTGGAGATGTAGCAGAATTACAGAATTATTTTACCCTGATTTATTTCATTGCTTTAAATATCAACCTTTCAAAATGCTTTACCGAGATTAGTTAGCATCTTTGCTGTGTTACTGGGAGGAGGAAAGGAAAAGAAAGGACACCGTTGCACAGCCAAGCTTTAGATAGTGCCGTTCTTTTGAAGCCATCACCAATTTTGCAATCTATGCTAGCCCGTCAGACGGCTTATGACAAAAGCACCGCTTTCAGAAACGTTACGTAGCTTTTTGTGAGATTTTTTGAAAGAAAACTGCCCCAAACCACTCAGCTAGTTTAGAAGCCCAGTAACTGGAGCACCTAGTCTGAGTGACACACATTTCCTAAATGCCTACCTCCCTTTTGAAAGCGAGACTTAAGTCTCCAATTAACAGACATTTGAAAATATTACTCTGACTTTTGTAAAAGGGATGTGTTTACACACAGACCTGTAATAAGAAAAGAAGCAGTGAAAAATCTAGCAGAATGAACAAGATACAAAATGGACAGCTTAAAGAGCAGTTTTTCAGGGTGACAAAGGAACATGAAACTACATGTATATAGTGAGAAAGACATGTTCTCTTTTGACATTCATATCGGATATTCACACTACCCTTAAAGCATGGAACATAACAAAAAGAAGCTTCTTACCAGTGAAGAAAATGCTTATATACAGTAAAGACTGATTTTGAAGCACCTGTCCTAAAACCTGACAGAAGCAGGTATCTCACAAAGGAGGATTTAACTGAGGCATGGCCCCATGGTCAAATGCCACTAAGTGACTGCAGCTTAACACATATTTCCCATTAAATGAGCCACCATAACAGAGTGTGGGTGTGCTCTTACCATGCCATCATTCAATACTTTAAAAAAGCGTCTTAAACATCAATGAAGGTTCCTGAACATACTTTTATCAAGCATCCATAGCCTTAGAGCGAAAAATACACAGTAATGAAATCTTGGGGATCTACAACAGCAGTTGCTTAAGTCAAAGCTCCCCAGCAGGAGCCCTAGCATGGGTCTCGCTCTGTGTCAGGTATAAAGATTCAGTCACTGTAACAGTTATGAACCGTTCTCAAAACACCCTCTCACCTCTCTGCTAACAGCTAGCCCCCATCTGTGTTCAGAAGATGTTCCCTTGGGTAACACTACAATTGGGACTAGAAATATCCAGGTTTCTAGTTCAAAAAAAGAGAAAGAAACTGTTCAGAAATTAAGAACAGAAGAAGGGGTGATCAAAATTAATAGCCACGTCCCAGTGTGAGCCAGGATTTACCTACGTCTCTGCTAGAATGGGATAAATACCCCCTTCAAAAGGGAAAAGCTGCAGCTACACTAACAGCATCGCATAGCAGCAATTGTCCTATTTCTGTAGAAACAACTTTGAAAACCTGTAAGCAAGTGTGCATTACAACCAGAAGAAACAGACACGTCTGTCAGCAGGGATGTGACTGAAATGCCCAGGAACAGACTGCAGCTACAAAGTCACTGTCATGATACTAAATGAAATAACATTACAAGTTCTGCACAATGAACACATACAGTAGCAAGACTCCACCACTCCCTTGATAGAATATATCTAAAAAGAAGGAAAAAAAAAAAAAGAAGAAAGATTGATTTATACTCCCTAGTCAGCAGAAGAAGATAGTTACAACTTTGCCTTCTGCTAGGAATTGGTTTGAGCCTGCTCCTTTCCAAGCACGTGTTGTCTGTACGCTGGCGGGTGCCATGTCTGCTTAGAGCGCTGACTGATGCATCCAAGAAACAGCATCACAAGGCAGTATCACAGATACTAGCCAACGGTCATTTTTTCCTTGTAAGAGAAAAAGCAGGGAAAAACAAAAGTGCTACTATGCATTATTGGAAATTTAGAAGTCACGTGAAATAATAGTCCTTGAATCAGCCAAAAAGATACACTAATTGCACTGAAGTAGGTGCCACAATTACCAAAGCTCATTAAGATGTGAATATACAGCAGCCATTCACAATCAAAAATGAGAGGGGAAGAAAGGGGGGGAAAAAAAAAAGATGCCATCAATTTGCTGATATTTAACAATCCCAGGAGATTTTTTTTGTTGTTTGGGGGGCGGGGTATTTTTTGTTTTGTTTTGTTGATTTTTCTGCAACACAATCGCAAACCAGGAAGGTGTGACACGCAAGACAGCCAAGTTTCTTCCATTAAGCGTTCGACAATGACCAAATTGCCCACTCACCCCCAAAACACCCCCCCCCCCGTCCCCCCCCCCCGAGTCCTTCCCCAAGCAGAGTCTGAAGGCACTTCCTCTCACATGATGTCGACGAAGAATTCACAAGGGTTGCCCATAGCCTTCTGGAAGGACTGCCGGCTCCCTGTCAGCTCTGGAGGAACAGAGCTCAGCTCCCTCACGGGGGGCCCTCCGGGGGGTCCGCTCGTCCCGTAGACTTTGGAGCCCAGCTTGGGGAGACTGTAGAGGGGTGGGACTCCTGGAGGCCCGTAAGAATGATGGCTGTGGTGGCTTCTCCCACTGTGGGTGGCAGAGACATGCCTCCGGTGGCTGAGCTGGCTGGCAGGCCTCTCCCGACGCACGACACTGGCACCGCCGCCGCTGCGGGCAGTGTGGTCAGACTCGCTGCCGCTGCCAGCCGACTTGCGGTCCTTCTCTCTGCCAAGAGCCCTCCTGCTGCTCTCGCTGTTGCTTCGGTTCGAGCCGCTGCTTTTGCTTCCTAAAGCCCGTGAGTGAAAAGGACACACAGAAAAGCAGAATTAGCTCAGGTCCATGTCTGTCTCCCACAGCAGCTCTTACCAAAACACAGACCCAGGTATGACGGTTGTAATGGCAACGATGGTGACGAAACCAGGCCCGAACGTGCTGTTGGTGGCTTACGGGATTTAGCAATGACAGTCGGTAGAACAAAGCTGACGAGGTTGTGCCATGCACAGATACACGTAGACACCTTAGAGCTTGCACAGTGAAAGCAGCAGCTAGCCTAGAGCTACTGGCTGCAAGCCATCTGCTCTCCTGCCGCCCCACTGACTGGAGGGAGGGGAGGAGCAAAAACAAAAGGAAGAAGCGGGCATTTGGGTTTTGGCTCAAGAAAATGAGGTTCAATCTAATTGTAACTGTCTCTGTCTTTGCTACGTTGTCGAACGCTTTGCTATCAGCAAGAACTTTTCAAATATAAGCTCATTCGCCTTCTCTATCGTCCTTGGTCACACTGGCCATATTCACGCCCAGGACCAAAGCACCTGAGCTTAACAGATGTCCTTTTGCTGGCTTCAGTGTGTAGATTCTTTTAAAATTCATTACTACAGTGTTCTGTTGGAGAACTCTTAAAAAAAGTTATTTGTTGAACTGCTCTATGATGAATGAGTAACACGCAGGATGTTCCCGGCAGAGGCCACTAAATCAAGTCAGAAAAAACAAAGGACTGCTGCTGGCATGTAAGCTGAGTTGCTGCTACGTACAAGCTTCACCAAACTTCAGAACTGATTTTACATGAAAGTTGAAGGTCGTGCTCTGTCACCATGAGGGACAGTCTAGGATGATGTCAGGAGTTAATTAGTCTTTTAAAAAAAAACAACAAATGAACCCACAGAATTATCTCATTAAGTTCATGCCATCGTACTGCAAGAATGTCTCCCCAAAAAGGATCCCTAGCCAGCAGAATAGGGGACTAGCTTTTCAGTCTGAATGAGCCACCGAGTCATTGTGGTAACTGAAATGGGAAAAACAGAATAACTCTCGGCTGCTCCTTGCTTGAAATACAGATGATCATGACCTTCTGTCTGCTCCAGCTGATGTTTAGAGCAGGCAAATAAAAGAGACAGGAAAACTAGACTGACCTGATGTGTATGGTGGAAAGGCTAGATTCCCCTGCAGAGTGCAAGAAAAGCTGGGGATAGATGGAAAACACAGAATATAAAATCACTGGACTTGAAGTTAGTATTCTGAGCCTGGGACTCTGAAGTGGTATTTTCTGATTGTAACCCCCTCTCAGCGCTTCTCTACTCTGGGAAAAACACTGTCCTGCTTTGTGCCTCAGATTTCTTCCGTCTGTAAATGGAGATGTTAACCTGGGTTCAGCTGCCTCCACCAACTACTACAAAGATTCATTAAGGTAAGCCTTTGAAGAGGTAAGGTGCTCCCTGAGATGTCATTTCAAACGTTTCATAGCAATATTGTAAAGACAAGTAAGACAGGAGAAAATACTTGGTAGCAGGTTGATTGTTACAGCCTTTGCTCCAAAGAACAACATAGAGATTATCTCCAAGAAGCATCTTTGTGTGGCACTGTTCACAGTGGAAGAAAATCAACATTTTATTTTAACCTTTCCACAGCTAATATGCCTCTGCCTTTATCTCATGATGAACTCTGTTGCCACACTTCCAAACCCAGTAAACCTTACCTAAAGTCATTACTCCTCCCCGTACACAACAATTCGTTGCCAGTTCCATAGCCTGTAGCTGAGTAAAGATTAGGCAGGGGAGAAAGCAAGCTGCACTGAAAGCAGCTGATCTTGAGAGGTCTTCCACAGTCAGTAGGACTGAGACTGCCTTGTGGCAATCCACCACATTACTTCTCCAGACTTCAGTATATCTGGAGTAGCAGCTCTAGCTGATCTGCCAAGACTCCAAGAGATCAAGTGGTTAATGCAGACTTCTTATCTCAGAAGAACCTGGCTTTCTGCAGCTGCACTCCAAGCTGATTACATGGCAGAAAGAAAATAGAGAAACCATCTACCATTACAGCAGTCTGTCTACGAATAATCAGCAGCATAGCCATTCTTCTCTAGTCATGCCGAGGTTCACTCTCTCCCTGACATGCCTTTAAATCCTGTCACAGAATAAACAGTCAGAAAGTCCTTCTAAGCCTTCAGTTTAAATGCAATCTAACAAGAGTTTCACCTTTTTGGCAGCTAGGGACTGGCCTGTCTTCGAGGCATGCAGCCCAACCTAAAGCTGAGGTTTGAAATGCTGCTAATGTGACACAACCACAGCAGTATCTGTTTCCATCTAAGGTCAACTTTAAACCTAAGTGTCATAAAATGGATTTAAAGGATCTGCATTTCAAGTGCCTAGAAAAGCTGCACTCAGCAGTGCCACAACATATCAGCCTTCATTCTCTGTTATTGCTGGACACCAAACTTCCACCCCTAAAGCCACAGAGACTCCAGCTGCCTCGATACTTCATGTCATGGGAACAGAAGTTTCCACATGAATCCTCCTGGACAGGGCCAGGAGATCCTCCAGAGACAATGTATAGTGGCTCTGAAGACCCTTCTATTGTTCCTGACTGACATCCTGTGAGCTTGAACAAATCCATCCTTCCTACTTTTTTCATGTCTCCAGACGCACATCTCTCTATCCATCTGTACGAGCATCTACCAGAACAGGGATGTGACTTTAATCTAAACATTATGGTAACAGAGATGATGTTTTGCAAGGAG